TCTATATCAATAGCTGCAAAATGAAAGTCCAGTTCAAATTCCATCCATGACGAATGGCTAGCACTGCTTGGATTTTAATATGTTAAGTTTTCACTCCAACTGCTAAGTAAGAAACTACAAGGTATATGTCTTAGCTCTACTAAGAGTTTTTTCAGGCAGTATTTCCAGTCACTTCACATCAGATGACACCACGACAATATCAGTATCAACAAAATGTTACGTGCCTACCCATCCATATATCTCCAACCCACAAAGGGTAAACAGAGCTATTTTTATTTTTTTTTCTCACATCTGCATATAAAATCATGGTTAATATTGTTACTTTAAAAGCTGTTTTAGGAAAATGTTAAGACAGTGCATTTTGCCGGCATGGACAATTCAGGACTGACATTGATATGCAGTAGTATTTTGGAGAGCAAAATGATGGCTAGTGGGGGATAATGATTCCTCTACCTATTCCTCTTCAGCCCTGCGTCAGAAATGTATTTTGTAGTTGTCCTTGGCAGTGATATATAAAGGGAGCGTTGTCCAGTCCCATGTGACAGCATTATGGCCATTGACCAACCTCTTTAGACCTGGTACCCATTTACTAAGAGACTTCTACTTCATAGTGAGACTCCTGCTAGGTATGCGTTCCATTCAGTTGTTGTATAGGTGTGTAAGAGAGCCATGGCATGCTTTTAGGCATCTAAAGGTAACGGGCTGGACAGGTAATGGGAGAAATCTCTTCCAGAAATGATTAAAATCTCTGCTAAGCAATTGATCTTTTTTGGGTGCTTGGCAGAACAATGCCAAGGAAGAAGCAAGTAGCTAACTACCTCATTCTCAGCTCTCTTTAGTAATCTTCTCTGTGGATTTTTAACAGTTTGCAGAGCACCTAGATACAGAAACTTCTTTATCACCAAGTTTTCACTGGATTTTCAAAAGATCTGCAACTAAAATTGTCTCATTGGTGGTTTTGAGATTTTTTCCTAGAAACATAAAATAGCGGTGGCAAACATAAAATATTTTGACTCCTTGAGAAGGCTTGGAAAGACACCATAAGCCCTCCCTTCTGAAATCATAATTATGATCAGCCCATCTGCCAGAGCTCGGTTTCCATAAAATATGCTGGGGGAATCCACAATTAAATAGTTAAGGCAATAAAGAGAAACCTAGTTTGCAGCTGTCATTTGAGCTAGGTCTACCATGAGACATGTTTCCAGTCTTCAGTGAGACTGTCTTTCAACCAGAGCATGACACCAGGTGAGACAACAGCATGGAACAGAGTGACATTTTTCTTCTCTCTCCATAGACATAAGGCCACATTTTTATAGAGCATTTGGAAAAGAAATGTCTTTATTCTGTATTAATCTGCCCAAAGAAAGCAGAAGACAGTTACACCCACTCAGCTATACCCACTGAGGCAATATTTTTAATAACAAACTAGACTGTGCTTCTAGGAAGTATTTATAAACAGCAGGTTCTGGTTTTCTTGGTTACTTTCAGTAGATTTAGCTACCAACTTAATGAGAGTTAAAGAGTGCTGTTCCTCATTAGACACCTTATTTTCTGTGCAGGAGAAACTGTTCTGAAAGAAAATAAGCTTTGCATTTCTTAAATTATGTTTTGAATATTTAGATGAGGAGGAAACCAGTTGTTGGTGGATAGCAAGCTGGAGGTCAAGTGTGCCTAGAGATAAGGCTAGAAGTATAGGTCATTTCTGAGATTGGATTTCTGAGATTAGATTATGTAACTGAAAAGATGAGGATTGGAAGAAGAGCTTTCTTTGTATTATTTTGACTTCGGGACTGATTTTGATGTGAATATGTCATTACTCTTTACTATGTAGTTAGGAGATGTTCCTCCCTCAGAACTCAAATCCTAACTGCTTTTATTGCCCATGCTATATGGAACATCAGTATTTTTGTTGTTAACTGCTTGACCGGTATTTCTGTCTCAGCAGAGCTAGGGATACTTACATGTGCTTATAGAGTGGGATAAACATTTTCAGTAGTTCAAAGCTGGACTAAACTCTTCTTTTACATTTAGCTGTCTTTACACATTTTGCTGTGTTCTGTAGATGCACATTACATAGTGCATACATGCCCGGATAATCTTAAATTTCTTCTAGTGTGAAATGGCTTGATTGAATCCCTTCCATAGGCCATAACTATGCTAGACATCTGTGAGGACTGTTTTAATTTTGAAGGAACCAAAAATAGAACATTCTGGCTTTCTCACAAATGTCTAAGTAATTCCACGTCAGTCTCATACTCCTCTGGAAGACTGAGTGTCAGTATTTTATCTGATGGAGGTTTTTTTACATTTTTTACAAAGATAAAACTCTGTGTGCATATTATCTCTATTTTGTACAGTGTGTTGCAGTGTACCCACAGTGTGTTGCGGTGTACCCACAGTGGTACCATTGAAGTCAACAGATAAACTATACCAATTATTATTTTCCCCCTGTACTCAGCACTGGTGAAGCCCCACCTCAAGTGGGCATCCAGGTTTGGGCCCTTCACTTTTCTACAGGAAAGACATTGAGATTCTGGAGCAAGTCCAGGGAAGGGCAACAAAGCTGGTGAGTGATCTGGAGAACAAATCTCACTAGGAGCAGCTGAGGGAACTGGGGTTCCCTCAGAACCTGGAGAAAAGGAGACTGAAGGGAGACCTTATCGCTCTCTACAGCTACCTGAAAGGAGGGTGTAGAGGGGTGGGGGTCAGTATCTTCTCCCAAGTAACAAGTGATAAGATGAGAGCAAATGGCCTCAAGTTGCACCAGGGGAGGTTTAGATTAGATATTAGGAAAAATCTTTACACCAAAGGGGTTATCAAGCATTGGAACAGGCTGCCAGAGAAGTGATGGAATTGCCATGCCTGGCAGTATTTATAAGTCAAGTAGACATAGTGCTTAGAGGCATGGTTTAGTGATGGTTTTTGTCAGCATTAGGTTGATGGTTGGACTTGATGGTTGGGTCTTTTCCCTGGTCGTGTGAGCTGAAGTGCTCATCTGTTGTAAAATGCCGTTTTTTTTGATCACCATTGCGCTGTGCTACAAAAGGGACTTTCTGCCAGTGGCATGTGCCGATTTCTGCTTTTATTTCATTCTTAACATTTCTAGAGCTGCAATATGTAGCTGGCAATGTGACGTACTACCAGGGTGTCTTCAGTTTCCCGGGTGCTCTCTGTAGCGTCAGTGTGTGGTTAATGTGTAGCCTGAACACCATGGGGGATTCAGCTTTGCTGCTGGCCCGTTTCACAGCGCTTCTCAGAACATGGTGTGTGCTGCACAGATGCTAGACACTGGCAAACTCCCACCAACTCTGCTGGACGTGCTGCTATGCACAGGGAGGCCGTTTATTCTAAGTTTAAAGATTTGGTCTTTGAAGCTGTGAAGGGCACCAGACAAGCCTTTGGACAGTGGGGCAAAAGAGACAAATGAAAGTGGCACAAGCTGAATATCTCTGGTATCATTGGGATTCTTAATTCCAGGTGTGCAGTTGTGCTTCAAGGGGTGGAAAGCTTGTTAAGTAAGGTCCAAAACCATTTTGCTACATGGTTAACTCACTCGGAAGGGTACAGGCCAGGAAACAACTAACCTGTTAATCTTTTGCATACCTCTGACATTCTTGTCTAAGCAGCCTTGTGTTCCAGCCTCTAGAAACATTATCTAATGGTCTCCTCCCTGACTGGCAAGTCACCTTCTGATGAGCGTGAAGACAGTCATTATGGAGACAACAAGCAAAATTTCAAAAAACTAAGATGGACTAAGGAATAAAATTGTCAAAAGATAGGAGACAGCATTTGGACGAATCACTTGTATACAGAAGTGTTCAGAATAAGACCCATTCCTCTAACACACTTTCAAAAGAGCGTGCAGATTGTTTGCAGCAGTTCCCAGCATGACCGAGGCTGCAGTGGAACAGAAGCCTTTTGTTGTTCAGGTTTCTTTAACATAAAACGATGGACTAAGGAATAAAATTGTCAAAAGATTTGGACGAATCACTTGTATACAAAAGTGTTCAGAATAAGACCCGTTCCTCTAACACACTTTCAGAAGAGCATGCAGATTGTTTGCAGCAGTTCCCATCATGACCAAGGCTGCCGTGGAACAGAAGCCTTTTGTTGTTCGGGTTTCTTTAACATAAAAAACTGGTTCAATACCTATACCTATATTTCCATTAATCACAGATGAAAAGCATCAGGATGCAAAGACGTAATAGTACATCTGTGCACTCTATTGCAGTGATAAGGGTTCACTTGATTTGACATTAGAAGTCCATCTTGCACTTGGTTTAGGCCCTTATATTTCTGCAATTTCCATGGGAGGGAAAATGTCTCTGTTTAAAAAAAAATGTATTTCGTGCTGTTATAAATACAGAAATGGTGTGATAATGATAATCTGAATGGAGTAATAAGGATATAATTGGTTCTTTTTCCTACACATTTTTACAAAAACATTTGCCCTTTAAAAAATTTATTTCATAATAACCATGGCTATTTTATTTTACCATATTAAAGTTTTAACCTAGGCTGAAACTAACTAAAATTCAAATTATAGTGTCTGTATTGAATCAGAGGAATCAGAACATTGTATGTGGTATTGTTTTATTAATTTTCTTGGGGAATAGATTTAAATGATTTTTTTCAGTGTTGGAATTACTACTGCTTGTGTTACTTACACATAGTTCAAACATTTAAAATAAGTGTTTTGTTTACAAACAAAGTTTGTTTTCATTGTCTTTCCATTAAGAAGAAACATGTTAGCAAACATAAAAGTCAGCTGAACTCCTAATGTTCACTGAAGGTCTCTTTTTTTAAAATATGTTAAAATTAGCAAACCTCAAATGAGGGGTCCTGTCTTTGTCCTTTCTCTATCTACTCCTTGGAACATTTTCTTTGGTGTTTTCTTGTTCTTAGTCAAATTATGATGTATGATTAGCTGGTATAGGATGAGGACCCGCGATACTGAGCACCATGAGTTTCAAAATTATATTTTGGCCATTTTGTCAAAGGACCAAAACTTGTTTGAAGATGAGGAGACAGATGGTGATGATGATGATGGTGATGATGATGATGAAGAAGAAGAAACAGAAGAAGAAGAAGAAAAAGAAGCAGAAGGAGAAGAAGGAGGAGGAGAGGAAGGAACAGAAAAAGCAGAGGAAATAGAGGAAAAATATGAAAAAGGGAAACATAGTAAAACACCCGAAGGAGAGAAAAGCAGTGATAGCACAGTGGAAACTGAAGAGGTAAAAATGTTAAGTTATTGATCTTTGAAAGAATTTGATTCTATAACTTACATTAGTTTGAATATATGTGTAGCTATCTTGGAAACGCAAAGCTGTTTTTTGGTGTAGTTTTGGTAGAGGGAGGAACAAATATGTAGGTGTTGCTAGTTAAACATTTTAATTTTTAACAAATTTGAATGTAGAGATTTCATTGTTTTATCTCTCTATAGACAGAAGAGACTACTCAGAAAGAGACCATCATTCAGCAGGGTAAGAAAACAATTCCTAAGAACTGGACCATTATGGACATTCTGAAAAAAAACCAAAACAATTCAAAAGATAAAACTTTTCTAAAAAATCTCTATTACAAAATTTCTGAACAATAGAGTTATTGTAACACTGTTCAGTAGTTGGTAAAACTGTTCTTGAGAGGTGATGAAATATGAGAGGCAAAAATTATTAATCAAAAGAAAAAAATACTTTTCCCACTTACGTATTGGAGGAAGTCCACGAGAAGGACTTTCTCTTATCAGGACTATATCTTACTTGCTAAAAGCAGTTCTAGTTCTGGTAATTGTATTATCTTTCAAGCAACTTCTTTAGGTGCTGTGTTTCTTCCCTTCAATGGAGAAGCTTGTCAAAAGTCTTCCTCATCTCTGTCAACTGACATTTCCTCATTACGTTCACAAGCAGATTATTTTAGGTGAAATTAGATAATTACACTAATAACACTGTTCAGAGATGGTCAAGACATAAGTCTAGACGTTGCTTGTAGTTTTGATGGCAGTTTGAGTGAACTGTATATTCCTTTAAGAAAGCTGGAGAGCTTAAAGTTGGGTGTCCTATGTGCAAGTCAAAAATGCTTTTCTTCTTTTAGAAGTTCTGGAATAGTCTATAATTGTTCTTTTGAAAGGAAATAACAAATGTGGTCTAAAAAAGACCATTGCCTTAATAATGAAGAAGCTATGCCATTTATTTTCAATATTATAATGGAAATAGCTTATCCAGAATGTATGCTGAAATATTTTTCCATCATCCAGTGATTTGGAAGTTTTGATATTAAGTACTTAATTTATATCATTCACACAGGGAGTATAGGAAAATTAAAACACAGGAACATCAACTCAAATGGAAAGTTTTTCCTTTCCCAGAATTGTTTCTATGGAATAAAATTCACACTGAACCATAATTCCTGCCCTAAAAGTCAGCTTTTCCAAATTAGAATATACTTTCAAAATCAGTGTGCAAGACATTGTCTTCTGTCAGCAAGAGGAAACTATGAGTGCCAAGTCAAAACATTTTATATAATGTCACTGCCATAAGTGTTCTGTTCTTGAAAATCAAGCATCTGGAGAATAATGTAAGGACATTATGTAGAGAGATGAAAAAAATAAAAGAATTCTTGTCAGGCTGGGCATCAAATTGAGCTGAATATTCTGATTGCTTTTTTTTTTAAGATCCACATTTTATTTAGTGTCTTTTACTTCAAATATAACTAGAGGAACAGTTTTTTCTGCTCTTCAATTTGCAAGAATCAGAAGAAAGTTAATACAAAGGTTTCTATTATTGTAGATAAAGAAAGCACTGACAATCACACTGTGAACAGTTCTTCAGAGAACGCTGATGACCAAATAACTGGAGGAATCAGTGGGAGAAAAAAGGTACGTGGCCTGATTTTTCCTTCTAGTTTTACCAGTGACCAAGGCGGCAGTGGACAGTCACCAAGCTGAAGCAAATACCCAATTTACCTGATCTGCATGAGCAATTAAGCTGCTGAGCAACCTGTTCCTTCTGTTTAAGATTTGATTTTATTTTGTGATAAAATAATTTAAAATTGTCCAAATAATTAAAATAAATCATAGTACTTCTGTCAGCATAAATGAGATAAAGCCATTTATCAGCTGTGCATGTACAGCATGCCCATAGAAGACAGCTTGTTAATCACATCAGATTTTGGTGAGGTGAAAACTTGGGACTTGATTCCTACGAGACATTATCTGGAAGTATTTCCCACCATAGTTCTCTCTCAAAGCAGCAGCCAAGCTAGTTCACCTTGTATCTATTTCCAACATGCACTGATTTAAAGAATGGGTTTTATATATATGTAAAAACACACACATATATGTGCATGTTGAGAAATACCTTATATGGAATTTCTTACAGATTTAGGACCCAAAGGCTTCTGCAGAGACTGGCTGCTGTGGTTCCTGTTGATCAAAGACCTGAAGCACCAGTTAACTTCAAGCACATGTGTAGTCTCACTGACATAAAAACACATTGTCATTTAACTGTAATGGGATTACACACATTTATAATGAAGCATTTTAAGCATTTACTGCTCTGAGGCTTTGCAGATCTGATCCTGTATTTTTGGACCTTGCCTCAGACTCTTGTTTGAAAGAAACACAGGTAGTTCTGCACCACTTGCAGTGTTTTGTACAAACTGTACAGTGTGTAATTTGACAAAATGCAATCATTTTAACTTCCCTGATTCATTTCTGCTATTTTGACACATTTCAAATATTGCAGCAGATTGCTTTTCATTAACATTTTTTAAATAATCATTTTCTTTTGAAAAATTACTTATTTCACCAAGGAGAAATTTGTGACCTAAATTGACCTTGGTATATAGAAAAGGCTTTGTGTTGTTTTTTAATTTTTTTTTAATTTCACAGCTAACTGTTTTGGGCATATTATTTACCTGTTTTTTACTTCAGTTTTCCCTGTTTAAGCGAAAGCCACTGACAGGCCAGAAGAATGTATGTACCGAAAAGGAAGATACATCTGGAAAGCCATTACAGAATGAACAAGAAAAAGAAAAGGAAGATGTATCTGGTGAAGACAGTAAAGATGAAAACCAGAATCATACATTGGAGAATTCCAGGGAAACTGTGACTAACCAGGACAGAAGGATTAAATCTTCTACTTGTATATTACTCTAACACTGTTATAGTACGTAAGAATGTGACAGTCTTAAAGCACATAGTGCAATTTTTACTTGAAAACAGTTAAGACTCACTACAGATGTTAATGGTTGCATTTTTGATTGATTTGATTGCTGTGATTTTAAACATGCAGACCATTTTCTTGATATTTATTGATAATTTTAATGTTGCAATTGATATGCTTATCAGCATCTTGCTGGAGTTCTGTGGCCTTAACTGTTAGTGCTGTAAAACAAAATATATTTTTTTATGTGAAAAGTTGGATACAGGCATTTCGTGTTTTTTGCTAAATAATTCTATTCTGTTTCAGTCTATAGAGTACCACTTTCAGTATGATACTCTTGCAAAATTGTAATATTTGATGTAAGATATTATTTGGTTTAACAAGCTGGGTAAAAATGTTGAAGTTCACATTTTAAAGAGGGTACTCAATTACTCAGAAATACGTATGCATCTTTTTGTTTTGACTTAGAAAAAACAGCAATAAAACTTCTAAGTTAACGTGTAGGCCATTACTGAAGAAGTTACTTAAGTATGTGCCTAATTTCATACACGGCAGCGGTTGCATTGGAAACAGTACCTGAGAGTAGTGTAAGTAGCTAAGTGAGTGTCCTGCCAAAGTGGACCTTGGAGAAACCTCTCATTTCTGAGCGATGCTGAACACCTCCACTCCTCCTGAAATCGGTGTAAGTTGATGGAATCTCTCCACACAGAATCAGACCCAATAAAAAATGGACATCCTCACCATTGCTTCACTTGGATTCTAACCTTATAGTCTTTGAACATCCATACCTTAATGAGTCTCCAGAGAAGCTTTTCCTACAGGAAAATAACGTAAGCAGAGTTACTGTGGAATACATTGGTTTGACAAACAGATCATTATGGGCTAAATATTCATGTTTTTCTCAGGCAACCTAGTTTTTCTTCAGATGGAGACTGAGCAGCAGGAGTAATGAATCCCATTACTGGAATGGATGAGGAGAATGTTTGGGGTTTTTTTTAATTAGTCCAAGAAGCAGAACAAACTTGCTATTCTAATTACCAGCATTGCCTCCAAATAAAATTTGATTTATGGAAATTTAGTACAGGTGAATAACAACTATAACCCTTACCATGATGAATCTGATCCAGGGTCTGTGTGTGGCCCTAAACTAAAACCTAAGCATACTAGAATATTAGTTTTTATGAATATACACAAGGTCTAGCATAAATATAAAACAATTATTTCTAAAGTAAGTACTTTTCAGGAATCTTTACAAGGGACAGATGATTTTTGTAGAAAACCCAAGAAAGTGTTATTTAATTTTACGGACATAGGAAAATATTTTAATATGCCTTTAGCCATATTTTGCCTTTGGATTATTAGTTTTTCCCAGTTTAAGAGTGGCTTAAATTTTATAAAATATAGTCAGGAGTGTCTGGAGTTGTTTTTGATGTGGAAGTTGATTCAGCTGAACGCTTTGTCCCTATAAATAAGGCAGGTGCCCAGATTCTTTTAGGGGGCCTCCTCTGTGCCACAGTAGGCATTGCACTAAAAACCTGAATGCTCAGGTCATCCTTTGACAGAGTTAATTAAGATCCTTTTCTTTCTGTTCTTTTTCCTTGGGCTACTCTTGAGTTCTGCAGTGAACCTTACATGAGCTTTTTTTTTTTTTTTTTGCCAATGTGCATTATATTTGCATATTTTCTTGTTTTCCTGAATGCACATGTGATTTCTGTTCTACTTGGATATTGTTGTGAATAGTAAAGAAGTGGAAAAGGAGAAATGAAGTGCCCTCATTAATTTAAATAAGCTTTAATTATTTTTAAGGGGAGTTCAGTCACAGAAACTTGAGTTCTGCAGTGAACCTTACATGAGCTATTTTTTTTTTTTTTTGCCAATGATTTTAATATGCCTTTAGCCATATTTTGCCTTTGGATTATTAGTTTTTCCCAGTTTAAGAGTGGCTTAAATTTTATAAAATATAGTCAGGAGTGTCTGGAGTTGTTTTTGATGTGGAAGTTGATTCAGCTGAACGCTTTGTCCCTATAAATAAGGCAGGTGCCCAGATTCTTTTAGGGGGCCTCCTCTGTGCCACAGTAGGCATTGCACTAAAAACCTGAATGTTCAGGTCATCCTTTGACAGAGTTAATTAAGATCCTTTTCTTTCTGTTATTTTTCCTTGGGCTACTCTTGAGTTCTGCAGTGAACCTTACATGAGCTATTTTTTTTTTTTTTTGCCAATGTGCATTATATTTGCATATTTTCTTGTTTTCCTGAATGCACATGTGATTTCTGTTCTACTTGGATATTGTTGTGAATAGTAAAGAAGTGGAAAAGGAGAAATGAAGTGCCCTCATTAATTTAAATAAGCTTTAATTATTTTTAAGGGGAGTTCAGTCACAGAAATTGTTACCATAAGGTCTGTTTCTTTTTTTTAAAATGTGAACTAATTTAGTGAAAAACATTACTTTAAAGTGGGTATTACCCTTAAAACTAATGCTACAGAAGTTTATGTAATAGATTCTAAACTGATATCTACCAAAGCAGTTTCAGGGACTTGAACATTTATCTTGTCCATACACTTCACTTAAGAAGAAGCAGGAGCCATTCAGATGTCTTTTTTTTACATGTCTTCCTCGGCAATAAAAAAAAAATATTAAAAAAAATAAAATTATATGTACATGTGTATTAATTTAAAGGGGTTTTTTTTGACGAATTCACAATCCTTATGATTAAAATGTCAGGGAATTTTATTACTGAAAGTCTTTCATTAACTGATGAGTAGGAAAAAGTGGAAGAAACATTTATAATAAACTTTTCTCTGTTTTTTCTTTTTTTCCCAAAGACCACTATATCGACTTAGATTTAACTGTCCTGATGTACAGCTAGATCGTGCTTTAGAATTACTGTTTTTCTAAAATTTCACCATCGAACATACCACTAGGTGGAGTTTGTGCTCTTCCAAGGTGTAACTGGTTCATCCCACCCACCCTCCGGAGCCAGAAATTTTCCTTCCCCTGGCCCCTGAAAAGCAGTTAAAGATACTCGCTCTGTATCAAATTTTCTGATTCAAAATTCTCTGAAAACTTTTATGTTTTCTGGTATATCGCTTTTGGCCTTCAAGTATTCTGGTATCTTGACATGTTTATATAGTGTATTTTTAAAGTTTTACACTGTGTATTTGTAAAAACATAAAGACAGAAAACTACAGTTTCTCATGTATTTCTCAGTCTAGATGTTTGGTGGTCAAATTCTGATGTGTCAATGTAAGCCTAGGTACATATGTTTGATATAAAAAGAAGTGCTATTAGTGCATCTTGCAGACATACATATATATGTAAATACTGATAAATAACTGATATCTACCAAAGCAGTTTCAGGGACTTGAACATTTATCTTGTCCATACACTTCACTTAAGAAGAAGCAGGAGCCATTCAGATGTCTTTTTTACATGTCTTCCTCGGCAATAAAAAAAAAATATTAAAAAAATAAAATTATATGTACACGTGTATTAATTTAAAGGGGTTTTTTTTTGACAAATTCACAATCCTTATGATTAAAATGTCAGGGAATTTTATTACTGAAAGTCTTTCATTAACTGATGAGTAGGAAAAAGTGGAAGAAACATTTATAATAAACTTTTCTCTGTTTTTTCTTTTTTTCCCAAAGACCGCTCTACCGACTTAAATTAGATTTCACTGCTGTGATGTACAACTGAGATCGTGCTCTAGAATTACTGTTTTTCTAAAATTTCACCATCGAACATACCACTAGGTGGAGTTTGTGCTCTTCCAAGGTGTAACTGGTTCATCCCACCCACCCTCCGGAGCCAGAAATTTTCCTTCCCCTGGCCCCTGAAAAGCAGTTAAAGATACTCGCTCTGTATCAAATTTTCTGATTCAAAATTCTCTGAAAACGTTTATGTTTTCTGGTATATCGCTTTTGGCCTTCAAGTATTCTGGTATCTTGACATGTTTATATAGTGTATTTTTAAAGTTTTACACTGTGTATTTGTAAAAACATAAAGGCAGAAAACTACAATTTCTCATGTATTTCTCAGTCTAGATGTTCGGTGGTCAAATTCTGATGTGTAAATGTAAGCCTAGGTACATATGTTTGATATAAAAAGAAGTGCTATTAGTGCATCTTGCATACGTACATACATATGTATATGCACTGATATATATATATGTGTGTGTGTGTATATACACAAAGATATATATAGAGATATGTATGTATGTGTCTATGTATATGAATGATCTACCTGACCTCCTGAACTTTCCATTTCATCCATATATTTACAGTCCCTTCCGGCCTGGGCGATTCTATGATATGTGTGTATATATACACAAAGATATATAGAGAAACATGTATGTGTGTGTGTATGAATGATCTACCTGACCTCCTGAAATTTCCATTTGATCCATATATTTACATATGCATGTTTGCTGATATCCAGGAAGCACAGGATTCATTTGTGCAGCTGTATCATTCCTATGCAAGTTTGTGGTGATTGAAGTAGAAAAGGTGAGAACATGCTGTTTAAACAGTATTTTATATACCCAAAGATAATAATAATATAGCAAATGAACTTTGTGCAACTTCTTCCAGGAATTAGTTGTATAATAAGCAAACTAGTCCAGTCTTTGCCCCTGGGGAAGATTTTAAGTCATGCGGTTAGGGTAGCTGAAGTAAATTTAATTAGTATCACAATGGTAAACCACTGTAACTCCTAATAAACATGTATACACAAGCTAATCTTACAGGGCTATTGGTAAACTGAGTAGAGGTTCACTTAAAATGTACTCATGAGTAAGACATTAACTTGTCCAGCTGTTGACAACTGGCTTTTGACATCCAGCATTTTTGACACTTTCTTAGTATATCAGCAATGATTTGTTGCATGCAAAGCCTATTCTGTACTCAATTTCTGTTGAAATTGCTGGCCAGGCTCCTTGCTGGCCCAGAAAGGGGTGGTTCTTAAAGCCACAGAGTTACACAGCCACTAGCCATACTACTGTCACAGAATCACAGAATCTTCTGGGTTGGAAGGGACCTTAAAGATCATCTTGTCCAACCATCAGCCTAATTTTGACGAAAATAAACACCCGCACAACAAACAAAAAGCAACACCATCACTAAACTCTCTACATCTGGTAGCCCCACAGGTAAAGGAGTAACACTTCACTCAGATTTATGACCTGCACCTGGCAGCATGGAGGCTTAGCAACATAGAAAAAAAAAAAAGTTCCAAAATTACCTAAACTATCTGAATTAGCAGTAAAAGTGAAATGTATTTGAGTTGGCTATTAAAATCCAATATTGAGCACATTTAAAAATACCCAAACGCTGTATAGGAAATTGATAACCATTTACTGCATGCCTGGACTATTTTATCTCTTTATAAATAAACTACCTCTAAATCTCCTCCGAGTGTTTGTAAGAGCTATATTATTTCTACTATTCACTACTCAGAAGGGTTTACAACATTTTCACTCCCTGTTAAGTCAAATTTTG